GGATCTGGACTCGGTCACCTCTATCAGGTACCTCTGCATAAAATTCCCAACTGACACGGGAGTTGGTGTGTGCAGGGGAAACCAAATATTAAGTAGGCTTTGCTACCACAAGTAGATAAAGAAGATGGACGCCCAAGTTCTATGGATAGACTGCATCGTCACGGCTCTGCTGAAGGAAGAAGAGGGAAGATCTCGAGCAAAACCAGTCGGGGACGTAGAAGAGGTCGTCATCATGGAGGACCGGCAAGAGAAGAAGATAAAGCTCGACACAAACATGGGGGCTGAGCTCAAGAAAGGAATCATTCAGGTCTTGAGGGAAAACTTCAATATCTTTGCTTGAGCTGTGAAGGTCATGCCCGGAATAAGTAGGTCCTTGATCACTCACCACCTCATAGTGGAGCCAATGGCAGAACCCGTCAAGCAGAGAAGGCGACATTTGAGCAAATACATGAGGGACTTTGTCAAGAAGGAAGTGGACATGCTCCAAGCTGAAGAACATGTCAAGGAGATCAAGTATCCCACTTGGCTGTTAAACATTGTTCTCGCCCCCAAAGAGAAGACGTTCAGGATGTGTGTGGACTACACTGATTTGAACTGAGCCTATCTAATGAATCCTTTTCCCCTGTCCAACATTGATCAAATGATCGACGAAATGGCTAGGTGCGAAGTGATGTCCTTTATGGACGCATTTAGGGGCATGCATGAGGATGATGTGGAAAAGACATCTTTCCTTACCTCGGAGGGATATACTTTTACCTGGTGATGGCCTTCGGACTGAAGAAAGTGAAGCAACCTACACAAGGATGGTCAGCCCGGTGTTTCACTCGGTTGTGGGGAAGTCGATGACGGTGTACGTGGATGGCATCATCGTCAAGAGCAAGCAGGAAGCTGACCATGCGGATGACTTATCCCAGGTCCTATCGAAACCAATCAAGGGGGAGAAATTGTATCTATACCTAGGCGCCAGCCCTAGGGAGACAAGCTCTGTGCTCTTTAGGGAAGATGGAGACGCCTAGCGGCTCATCTATTACGTCAGCAGGATGCTGAAGGACGCCGAGCTCAGGTACTCGGTGGTGGAGAAGACGATTCTCGCCGTTGTCAACATGGTCAAGAAGCTTAACCACTACTTCGAAGCTCACAAGGTAGAGGTCAGAAGACACCATCCCTTGGGTCATCAAGTGGTTCGTATACCTAAGCCAGTACTAGATCAAGACAAAGCCCCGAACGATGATAAAAGGGCTAGTACTTGCCAATTTTATGGTGGAGTACATAGCCCGAGACAACAATCCTGTACCGACAGCTGAGCAAAGTGAATGATGGACCTTGTCCATAGATCGGTCCTCTGTAGCTAAAGCTTGCGGAGGAGACGTGGTCATTCAATCTCCAGAGGGATTCTGTTCAACGAGGCAGAGTATGAAGCTCTGTTGAGCGGACTGAAGGCCGAGTACGTGAGAATCAGATGCGATTCACATCTAGTCCTCGGACATGTCAAAGGTGATTTCGAGACCAAAGAGGAAAGAATGCGGTTGTACAAGGAGGCAGCCTTGGAGTTGTTCAAACTTTTCAAGGGCTATGAGATGGTACAGATCTCGAGAGCAAAAAACACGGAGGCCGACATCCTCTCCAAGCTGCGAAAGCCATGAGCACATCTCCAAGATGGCCCATATTCAGGAACTTGGCTCCCCAAGCATTCACGCCTAGCTCGTGATGGCAATCATCGATAGGGCCGACAAGATGGATCTTAGAGTTGATCAAGTACAAAGAGGATGGGACTCTACCCGAAGACGAGATAGCTGCTGCTCAAGAAAAGGGCACCAACCTATGTCATTGAAAACTCCAAGTTGTATATGAGGTCGTACAACGGAAAACTCTTGAGGTGTGTCGACGAGAAGAAAGCCAAGCAGATCATGGAGAAAATCCATGGTGGCATCTATGCGGCACATTAGGGCCCTTTTTCCATGGCAAGATGCATCGTCTTGCAAGGGTATGTTTGGCCAACCATGGTCAAAGATTGCACCCAAAGGGTGAGGAGATGCATAATCTACCAAATATTCCAAACCATTCTAGGTCGGCCTAAAACGAACTATCACCCGATCAGCTCGTCTATCCCCTTCGCTTGTTGGGGAATAGACCTGATCGGTCTCATGCATAGGGCACCCGACAACTTCTGCTGGATCATCGTGGCCGTGGATTATTTCACCAAGTGGGTGGAGGCTGAACCACTTATTGGAGGAACTGTTGAGTAGTGCCTGAAATTAGTACCCAATAACATACTCAGCCGGTACGGCGTCCCGAAATAGATCACGACGAACAATGGCCCTCAATTTGAGGAAGGAGAGCTCAATGAGCTCTTACAAGCCTGGGGTGTCAAACACAGCTACAGCTCCGTCGCATACCCGCAAGGGAACGGTCAAATGGAAAACACAAACTAGACGATCATTGACGGAATAAAGAAAAGACTAGCAGCTTACAAAGGAGCTTGGGTGAACCAACTCTCGAATGTACTATGGGCATATCAAACAACGCCGAGCAAGGCAACGAGGGAAACCTCATATTCAATGTGCTACAGATTTGAAGCCAGAGTACCGCCCGAAGTGATAGTCCCTAGTTGGAGAGAAGAAGCCTACGACCCCCAACAGAACAAGGAGGAAATGGCGGCAGACCTCCACTTCATCGAAGAACGGAGAGAAAGAAAGCGTTTCCCCAAAGCTGAGAGTCAGACCAAGGGAGTTCCGAGTAGGGGACTTGGTCCTGCGAAAGAGAGAGACCTCGAAGGACGGGTCATAGCCGTCCTCAGGCCGGGAACATACAAGCTCAGCACCCTCGAAGGACGTGAATTGGGTAGGATTGGAATACCCACAACTTGATCTACTTTTACACGTAGTGCGCTGAAACTGACCAGCCGCCCTCGGCCATGATACTTTTCCATGCATTTTCAGGCTTTCACACCACGATACGACCCCACGCAGTCTTTCGCTCCTACGCAAACTCAATTCTCTGTGCACACACTCACGCAATTCTCACTTAGCCATCGCACCACTTGATGGCAAGCACTGATCAAGTGTCCTCCAGGGGGAGCCCAACCACACAGGTCAGCCCGGGGACCAGGTGCTCTGAACGAAGTGAAGAGCAATGTCTTTCTAAGGGTACAACTTTCTTATTCGTGCAGAGGAGAATACCATAATGCAAGGTCCTGCTTAGGACAAAAGCTTGCAATCCTGCTTAGGATCTTTCAATGCAAGGTCCTGCTTGCGACAAAACTTACAGTCCTACTTAGGACAACTAAACGATCAAGTCCTATAGAGGATCCAAAAAAAGAGAATAAAGAAAAACAACGAAGGAGCATTTTATTCAACATTTCAATGTGCAGAAGCACTTGTTACAACTTCACTAAGTTCACACACAATTTGATGAGCCGACAGCATCATCCTCAAAATTTTCAAAATAAACAGCAAGACCGCAGAAAGGATTCGAATCGACAGTTGAGGACCCGTGGTCGAGATCTTTTGATGGCCCTTTCTTGTCAATTGTGCCCTTGGGAGATTTTTTACGATGCGCACGGATCAAGCCTTTGACATAGGCAAGAACATTGGTGCCAACCTTCCTCACCAAATGACCGGATTTCCTTGGAGAAACTTCAGGACGAGGATCTCGCCAAAGCCGACCTTGAACTGAATTATTAGAGTGTATACTTTATTTTATTTATTTGTATAAACAATGAAATTAAAGAAAATTAAACATGAAAAAATAAAATAATAAAATAGGTTAGGGGGCGTGTATGCCATATAGACACCATAGGGGTTTCACTAATAATACTTGAAAATGAAATCACCCTAAATAAGAACAAAACATAGAGAAAGTATGAAAATAAGAGTTTTTTTGTTCCCTAAATACGAGTTTGTATTGTAATAATGTGTCACTGTACATGTGCATTTACTATATTTTGTAGATGTACATGGTTTAATGGATAATATAAATGCATTTTGACTCCTATTTCAAGAATAACGAAAAACTCTTATTTTGGTATATTTTAAATATTTTACTACTACTTTATTTTTTTTCCTATTTGAAAAAAGAGGGTTTTAGTGTTCTTTCTGTAAACCACAGGGGGTACCCGTACTAATACCCCCATTTTATATGAAATTATTATGACATCATTTTACATAAAAAATGGCGTAGAATTAAAATATAAAATTATATACTAAAATAGTACATAAAAAATCTACAAAACTAGTGATGAAATGTTTATTTTATTTTATCAAATGACTAACAAAGGGAAAAATGATAAAAATTTAATCTTGTGAATAGTAAACATAAAGTTTAATTTGGGTTTTGAAACAAAGAGCGTAAGTGTCAGAACTTCTTGGGGAAAATATTATCTAAAACTGAGGTAATTCTTCATTGCTCATCAATCTCAATTTCAGAACGATATTTGATTAAAGTTATTTTTTATTTGATTTATAAGAAAATTTGAGTGGAATTAAGATATACTCTTGCCGGCGATGGTGGCAGGGGTTAGCGGTGATGTTGGGGTTGGATTGATGGTGGTGGGGTCTAACGAAGATGGTGGGCCGACAGTGATGATAGGTTGGGTGCAGCGGTGGGGCTGGTGGTAGTGGGAGTTGGGGCAGCGATGGGGTGCGGTGGCGGTAATTCGAGTTGGGGCAGTTACAAGCCTTCAAGTGAGGGATTGGTGCCAAGGGCATTTTAGACAAATTATGCTTAGAGTCAACCCTTATTAAAAATGAGAAAAAGTCAAACCGGGAAATTTTTTCCGAACGGAGGGAGTAAAAGTTACATATTTAAAACTACAATACATCATTTTTTTTCAAAACAAGAGGTGACATGACTATATTATATTATCAAATGAATATTAAAAATAAGTAAAGAAAGTGAATGGAACGAGTATATTTACACCACTTGGACTCAAGGGAAAAACAAAAACATAAAAAGAAATTTTAAAAAATACTCCATAACAATAAAACTGCATTTAATGAATCTAAATTGTTACAGCTGTATTATACTGGCTCCGCCACAGCCTGTATACAACATTTCCTGGTGCTGGCTAAGCCAAATCTTCTTGTGTGTCCAAAGTGATCATAAACCAAGGAGAAATAATTATGTTTCATACAAAACAATACAAGTAAAATAATTAGCTCACAATAGCAGGAAACCCCCAAAAAATACATTAAAAAAGGTAATCTTTTTATAAACTCAAAAGAAACTGGAGATTCAATATGTCCACTGTGGATGCAAAGGGGGTATGATCTGCAAAGTGGAGAAGCCCTATGTTTGCAATGCCTTCTGCACTTCACCAAGGCAGGCCACTAGGTCTTGATATTCTTTACTATCTGAAAATGTATTCGCCGCCTACATTCAAAAAAATTGCAGCTCATAACCCGAATACCCGATGATGCATTTTTTTTAATGTTATTTTTTTAAAATAACTATTTAAGAAATATTCTTTGGACATATTTTCAGATAATTCAGTCTGATTAGGTGCAAGAAATGGATGAAAGTGTGATAAAAATAAAGAATTTGCCTGATTAATAGTTCTCTTCAAGTGCCTATCAGCTGCATTCAACTCGTCTTTCCTAGCATTCCGGCTAGCAAGTTCCATATACACCCTACATAGTTCCACTGAAGCATTTGCAAACTTGGCAAATCGATCTTTATCATTCCATAAGTCTGATCCCTGAACAGGAGAAGAGAGATACTGACAGCGCATAACTGAGGTGTAGATGTGCAATAACTAAAACAAAACTCGGCACTTTGGGAAAAAAGAAGATATATTCATATAACTATTGGAGCATTTAAGAACGTTTAGAGAAAGCTCACAATTCTCAAAAACATGTTAGAATCAAGCTACAAAGTATAGCTTCACGATTTTAGCGTTAGGTGTTTTGTTACTTTGGAGTTTAGACAAAGGTGCACTCTACCAAACTCAGTTCAAATCATATTGCACAAACAGTTACCCAAAAACTCAATAAGAACACATTCTTGAAACCACAAAATTTGCAAACCAAATAGCACATTTTGAACACAGCATTTTCAGGGAGGAAAGTACTATTTCATATTGATTACCCAAATCACAGCATGTTAAATAGGGTAATAATTTTAAAGTGATATTTTTAAACGAGAAAGACTCCAGCTTTACATTATGTTTGGCAAAGGAAAGAAATAGGGAGGATGGAAATGGAGAGGAAAGAAGTAGAACTGTAGAAGGGAGAAAATTCAAGAGAAATTAAATTCCCTTGTTCGGTTGGAAGGAATCATGACATAAAAAGTAAATATTGAAATAAATTTACAATTACATAGAGAACAAAATCATTATATTATTATTGAAAGATATATTTTTCTGGTATATGGAGTAATACATTTATAACAATTAAAAATATTAAATAAAGATAACAAAAATGTCACTTAAAATATTTAAATTTATTTTCAAGTTATAGACGATTTATGGTGTTTGAAGAAAGTTATTTTCAACTCAATCTGAGAGCTTCAGTGCACTTCAAACAAGGCAACTCATCATTTTTTATGACATGTCAGCCAAAATAATTGCATGCAATTGCCCGAATCCGACTCAGCCAGGCTCGCTTAGCAATGAAAAACCTTTGATTTTTGGAGTATTGGGTGCAAAAGAGAATCTCATAGTAATATTTTATAATCGGCCAAATTTGGAAGCATTGGCGAGGAAATTTCCATTTTAAAATTGAAGAAGTGAAAACAAATACTCTGGGGAGCGGGAGGCAAGAAGACGGAGGTTGAGTCCGATGTAGCAAGAAATAGATCTAACGACTAACGTTAGGAAAAGAATGAAAGGGAAAGAAAAAATAAATTTCCCTCCAATTTCATTCCATATGAGGGGGGACTTTTTTTAACTTTCTATTTCCCTTTTATTTCCTTTTTACTTCCTTCTTAATTTCTCTCCAACCAAACAGAGGAAATTTTTATATTTCCTCCCTATTTCTCTTTCCATATCACTTCTCATTTCTCTCCAAACAAACATAGCCTTAGGAAAACTTTGGAGCTAAATAAAATTCTACTCTTATAATCCCTCCGTCCGAATTTAGTTGTCCACTTTCTTATTTTCGTTTGTCCAAGATTAGTTGTCTACTTTCCATATTCAACAAATAAATTATGATGAATCATCTACAATATCCTAGAGATAGGATATGAGCATAGTTGACATGAATGAAAGAATAACTCATTTGACATTTTATTCTCATTTGAGTCATTTCTTTAAAATGTGATTTTTTAGAAAGGGGACAACTACATACGGATGAGGGAGTATATTCTTGCATGTTACTCTCACTTAACAAGGAATATACAGATTATCTCATTCTCTCTGTAATCTTACACCTTATAATCTTATATGTTAAAAAGGGGAGATCAGCTATTATAACAAGAATCTTAAAAAAATTCACAAACATATCACACCACATAAAAATATTGAGCTGCGTTTTCTGAATGTTAGTCTCAGATTGACTCCTGACTGTATTCTAAAGTACTCCAGTAATCAACAAGATACTGCAAATCCATAACTGGGAATATAAAGTAGGTAGAGAACAACACACAAATGTCCATATAATAGAGCAGAAATACATCATTAAAAAGGGTAAAAAGGACAAATTTCATTAGCATTTGAATGTGATACCTGGTACGATCTGACTTGCTTCAGGAGGGCCTCCGAACACATTGTCAAATCTCCTTTGAGTTTGTGCCACCTAGCATACAAACCCCACACCTCTGCACTACTGCCACTTTGTACCATCTAAGATCAAGGAAACAAAATTTTTCAGGATTACTTGCTACCAAAAAAAATTGAGAACTCCTTGCACTACAAAACAAATTCAATTTAGTCCTTGTACTGAAAATCATACTCAATTTAGTCCAGTACTTTATGTTTTTCTTCAAACAGGACCCTCCGTCTAAATGTGTAGCCAGTCTCTGTACTACAGATACATATTCAATTTGGTCAATGTGCTATGTGGCTATGTATAACTATTCAATCCATGTGTTGAAAATTGCAAAATTTCAGTATTTGTGCCGACATAATCTTAAGACTCGTGTGTACTGTAGTGTGCTTTACAAAAATGCACTTAAACCATTATGCAGGAATGACACTTTCAACAATAAAGAATGGAATTTGTATCATTTTTCAGGAATGAACAACTACAAGTGGGACCGAACCAAAGTTGGTTTACCTGTCGCAAGATTTTGCCAAGAACATTAATTAAGTGTTGCGTTTCGGGTTCAAATGAAAACCCTGCTTCTGAAGTCAAGATTTTGTCGGCATGGTTTGCATCAGATATGACGTCAGCAATGTTATTGTTAGTAACATTGCATGATGCGGGAGGCACAGAATGGGCAGTTGAAACACGCATTTCAAGGTCCTTCATCACCTTCTCTAGTAATTCAATATCAATTCTTTTTTTATTAGTCATGTCCAACACCTTCTGAACAGCTTCCATTGCCTACATGAAGATTGATATTAGCTCACTTCAATATTTCATTCATTATGTGATAAAACAGTGCAGGTATCACAAGTAAACCCACATAGCAGGGGATGCTTATAATATACTCCCTCCATCCCAAAAAAGGCTCCCAATTTGACTTGGCACAAAGTTTAAGAAATGTGAAAATGTGTAGTTGAAAGTGACACAGAGGAGAGACAAAGATTGTGAGCCACCCAAAGTTTTCCATAAATGGAAGGAGGCTTTTTTTTGGGACATCCCAAAGACGAAATAAGGGGTCTTTTTTTGGGACGGAGGGAGTAGTTCATTCAAAAGAATCTGTGCGAGTCACAGAAACTTTTACTACTAAGAGATTGATACCTTGCTCCATATTTCTAGCTATGTCCAAAGAGTTTGTCTAGTTTGACTTTTCTTGATCAAATGTTACATTTTTTAATTTTTACCATTATTTAATTGAAAAATATAATGAATGATATTATGAAAATAGTTTCAAAAGATTTGTCTTGCAACAACAACAAAAGAACAAAGTACATTGTTACCAAGAGACCCTTAGTTGTCTTGCAAAATACTTTATCCGTTTCAAAGTATTTGTTCAGTTTGACTTTTTTGGATACTTTGATGTCAATTAAATAAAACTTGTATTGTAATTAATACATTCCATTTTGTGAAAATCTAATAAAATTGTTTTTGTATTAATATACTATACAAATTCTATTTAATTGATGATTGAAGTCCCAAAGTATTTGTTCAGTTTGACTTTTTTGGACACTTTGATGTCAATTAAATAAACTTGTATGGTAATTAATACATTACATTTTGTGAAAATCTAATGAAATTGTTTTTTGTATTAACATACTATACATATTTTATTTAATTGATGATTAAAGTCCGTCCAGTTTGACTATAAAAAATCAAGTACTTTAGTAAAATACATTTATCATTTTTTATTTTATCATTATTTTTCAAATTTATTAGGTTAGATAAAAAAAGTCAAATGTTCACCTAAAAGAGCAAGAAAAGTCAAATACGACAAACTGATTAGGACAGAGGTAGTACTACGTATGTGATATAAACAAGTAAAGAAGCCATTGGGGTATAGTTTTTGTTAAAGAGTATCCCACATCAGAAAAGTGTGAAGAAAATAATGGGTATATAAACTCTTGAGTTAAACTAATTGATTGGATTCAATCTTTTAATGTGGTTCAACTCAAGTGCCTGATAGCCCAGTACAGTTATCTCTACCCAATCCTAAATTCTATCATGGTATCAGAGTAGGTTTTGGCCCACCTCGTTTGTCAAGGTGTCTGTCTAGACGTTCATTTCTAGCGGCCCGTTTGTCTTTAGCGCATTTGTCTGTATGGAGTATGTACCCAACGGCTTGTGGCCTATTTAACACCATTGCTCGTCTGGAAGTCCATACCCAGCAGCTCGTGATCCTTTAGGTGTTCGCGCTAAAAAAAATCAAGTGGATGGGAGTCCATTTGCAAGTGGTCAACCGTTTAGATTCAAAATGACCTGGTCGTCTACTTGAGGGGGAATGTTAAAAAGTATCCCATATCGGAAAAGTGTGAAGAAAATAATGGGTATATAAGCTCTTGAGTTAAACTAACTAATTGATTGGATTCAATCTTTTAATGTGGTTCAACTCAAGTGCCTTATGGCCCAGTCCAGTGACCCTTAACCCATCCTAAATTCTATCAGTTTTGAAATAGTTGTATCAATAAGAAACATATTTCTTATTGCCCATGTAATCTCTTCTGCAATTTGCTTGCAACTGATGCTACTTGACACTAGATATGAAGCAATGGATTTTAAAGTCTCATCTTTATATGCTGATCAAAGACATTTTTTGTCCATTTTTATTTGCGGCCTAGAGAGGTTTCACGACAGGCCAACTTGCTGATTCTTCTAGCCCCAACACACATCAGCACGGGAATGGGCTAGATGAAATTCGATGGAGAAACTTGAAATGACTGCTCCATAAGTCATGCCTCTCTAAGGGCTAGAGCAAAGTAATCAAAAGTTTTTCAACTTAAGAACCTCGCTGATTAACTTGAAAGTTTTTCCTTTTAAAATAAAGAAATTAAGGGTTTTTGTCACTTTAGCATACACCACATATTCTGAGGATGCATGGCCAGCACCAAGTTCTATGCCGAAAAATACCTGACTGATATAGCCAATATCTGCAGCAACATGGCTTAAATTTTCCCACATCTGCCAGCTGTCTCGTCTGCATCATGTTGCAAAGTAGAAGAAATAGTATTCCAAATAATTCCATAGAAACAAGTGATGCATGGAAAGAAGTTTAAAAGAGTGCAAAGCATGCAAAATCACTTGAACTTCAATGCTTCCTTAAAAGCAATAAAAGACTCCTTGTTTCTCTTCTTGACCATGTGCCTGCATAAGTGCATCATTTGTCATTTGAAATTCATAAATAGAAACTGAGTAGTATCTTTTAGGTGAGAGACAAATAAATTCTATAAGCAAGCCACTTATTGATGGCAGCAAGTTATATTTGAGCAAACACAAATCAAAATCTCGCCAAGTATATGTCTGTGTTTCATAAGATACACAAGAGTCGACAACAACAAGCCCAGTAGAATCCAAACTTTATTCGGGTTTAGAAGGTTAAAACGTATGTAACCTGACCTCTGTATTAAAACAGAGTGGTTGTTTTCATTAGACATAGACCCTTGAATCCTTGATGCATTGCTGCATTTACTACCCAAAACCTCATGTATAAAATCTGCCCAGGATACCAACCAATTAAACAATATGATGTTTGCAACTCCGTGTAATGTTCATGAATGTCTTATGACAATTCCACCTTGAATGAAAAAGGTGATTTGTTTTAAAATGACACCACATTGATACGCAGTGTGGCATCATGTATCCATGCTTCTTTTTAAAATAAAAAGAAAAGTACACACGCTTCTTTTCAGAAAACCCTAGCTCAGTTTTCCCTTTATCATTATAGCACATCAAGATGCCATATATCTATTTCCTATGAGTCAAAACGTAAAAGCCTATTGGCAGAAATGAACAAAACTGTGGAACAGAGTTTAATGATTGAAAATTGAAATTTCAAAATAAAAGAATTTTATTAGATAAACAGGATGTAAATATTGCTTCTAAAAGATCCATAACAATGAGGAAAAAACATACAAACATGCAATATTATTCCAAGCCTCTCCATTTTCAGGATCAAGCTGAACAGCACGTGTAAATCCGTCAAGCGCTTTATCCACATCCTTAGCCTGTATGATTCCAAAATATAAAAAGGACTGCGTAAAAAATATCTTGTTGATGGCAAGTAGAAAAGAAAAGGAGCACTTTTTCATGATAACTCTTCACATATCAGGTGTTGAAAATCTGCATGGGCTAGGATTTAAATATATTGGTCGGGAGAGAAATGTTGCTATTAAACGTAGTCAAAACATTTATAGGAAACCTTTAATGCTGCGGCGCCTAATGCAAACCATCCATCGGGATACATGGAATTCATTCTCATTGCAGACTCCCTACAGCACAAATAAATTATCAGGAAAGAGTTCTCATCTAAAAATATATGGACTCGAATTGCAGAAAGGAGCACTGTGTTGTGTACCATAGGGCTTTTGACCTCTCATAGTCCCCCCTATTATATGCACTACGAGCAAGAGAGCGCTGTGGCAAAAACTCCTCTTTTGTTAGTAAAGAATTCAAAATTCAAATAACAAAAATAGAGAAAAACATGGAAAATAAAATTCAACTGATCAGATCACCAGTGCTCGAGCAGACTTGTTCCCAGAAACTTCTTGGGCTTTCTCATAGCACGCATCATCATTTGTAACATCACCTAAAGAGCACCTAGAAATAGAAATAGTACAGATAACAAGAAGGCTAAGATATACATCACTACAAGAAATTAAAGAGACTCAAGTACGATGATCCATACAACTGAACATAATAAAACATACACGTAAATACATACCAGATAGATTCAAAAAAACTTTCAGAAATATAAATAATGGAAACCAAATCCTTATACAATTTATTGGAGCAATACGTTTCGTGATATATGAAGCATGCACATACTAACAACATAATAAAGAAAGTAGCATCATAACAATATCTTTAATCACATCATATTCATAGAATACCAAGGAAATCGGCTTCACACAAGGAAAAGAAAATTTGAAAGTGACAAGTATATTTCAACGTACCATAGCCTTGGGTCAGATGGCCTATCAGATAACCTTGCCTTGATGAGTTCCACAGCTGCTGCCTTCTTCTCCATAAGCCTGCCAGATGCATAACGTGTTTTCAGGTAGAACCTCAGCATTTCTCGAAAAGCCAAACTTAAGCACACAGAAATATATGGTTTTAGGTTTAGCTGCTACTTGTAACAATATATTAAATTATCCCAAAGCTCAAGGTCCTCATATATTTTGACAGCTTCCCCAACCAAGCCACAGCTTACTAGCAAATCACCAAACTCCCTGCAGAAGAACAAAATGAAATGTTGATACCGTACTAGAAATGTACTCCCTCTGTCCCAAAATTATTGTCCTATTTACTATTCTAGGTTCCCAATAACTTGTTTGTGTGTGTGTTTTCATTGATCATTTGATTAAATAAAATAGACATATCACCACTTGTTTTGTAGAAGTTTTGATGTAGTTTTTAAATATGTAATTTTTACTTTTTATATTTATACCAATTTGTAAATAAAATCATTTTAAAAGAGATGGGATCCTGCACGTTGTTCAAAACAAGATGATAATTTTGGGACAGAGGGGGTAGTGAAACATAATTTAAAACTAAACACAGGACAATATCGAGCATAAGAATGCACTTCTACATGAAGAAACAATATTTGAGAAAATAATGGGATAATAGCATGGGTGCCCCCCGTGGTTTATAAAAGGAGCGCCAAAACCCCTTCTACTTTCAAAAGTTATCTGTAAAACCCTTGTGGTTTTTAAATAGTGCACAAACACCCCCTCTTGCCTATTTTACACATGAAATGACATTTCTGCCCTTGGTTTTTCTCTATCTTCAAATTTCACTCTTTTCTTTACATTTTTTGTCATACAAATAAATAAAATAAAATATACGCCCTCTTTCTAAAATTAAAATTTTTTATTTATTTAATTTTCAAAAATATAATTTTTTTAAGAAAATGTTACAAAAATGAAATAAAATACACTTTTTCATTATAAGTAAAAGTAAAATAAATAAAATAAAAATTGGATAACATATACTCACTCTATCTCTAATTAAAAATTCTAACTTATTTTTTGTTTAAAAGTAAAATAATTTTTTAAGGACTTTAAAAAATGAAGAACATAAAGATGAAATAAAATATGAAGTTAAAGAAAAAGAATATTTTCTATATTTTTATTTCTTTTCATTACCTTTTTTTAACTATTATTACTTTTTACTTTGTACATAATATTTTATTTTTCATTTTTTTGTAACATTCTCCAAAAAATCTTTTGTTTTCAAAAGTACATCATAAAAAATTCTAATTTGAGATGGGAAGCGTATATTTTATTTTATATATTTGTATAATAAAGGTAATTGAAATTGGAAAAATTCAAGATCGGGGAAAACAAAGGGCATAAATGTCATTTTTGCTTTAAAAATAGGTAAGGGGGGCATGTGTGCTCTATTTAGAAACCACGGGAACTTTACAAACAACTTTTGAAAACAGAGGGGGTTTTGATGCCCTTTTTGTAAACCACAGGGGGCACCCATGCTATTAACCCGAGAAAATAATGATTGTGCTAAATCAAAAATAACAAAAGCAAAGACAGCAAGCATACTTGCGCAATGCAGGAAGGGTAGGAACTTTAGCTCCAAAGCAAAATGGCATCCTCTGTGAAACTACAGGTGAAGGATCATGTATACTTTGAACCTGAAATGCTAGGGGAAAAACACTCAAAAGATATAGAGGTAACTAAAGAGATTATCCTGGTCATAATAACTATGGATCTCAAAGGAACTTATAGCTACAAAAAGTTTACACGTGAAAGCTAGTTCTACTCTTACTTATCCTTCATCAAGTATAAGGTAAGAATATAAAACACAATACATTTAGACCATGTTCTTTTTGGATGGATAAATGAAGTTGGGTGTTGGAAAGAATTGAAAGAAGTTGGAAAGAACTAGATGAAACTAGAAAGAGTTGGAGAGAACTAGAAAAAGTTGGAAGGGGTTTGAAAGCATAAGGAGTTGGAAAAATTATTCCCTTTCAATTATCCCATTTTCCTTTTCCGGCTGCCCCAAATTTATGATATCATTTCCTCTTATGGAAATTATTGTGTGGGTCACATGAATAATCTCTTTTACAAAAATTTGAAACATACAATTTCACCTTTCTTAAACTTTGTGCAAAAAGAAAATATGAACATTAAATTGGGACAAAAAAATAATGTAATTTTTAATTTCATACCTTTGTATTAAAATAACTTTTAACATTTTTATTAATATTAATTTAAAATGAACCTAATGAAATGTAATATTTTACTATTACACAGCCTCCCTGCTTCCAAGTAGGGGCAAGGTCTGCGTACACACACCCTCCCCAGACCCTACTGTAGTGGGATCCAACTGGGTTGTTGTTGTTGTTGTTTGTTGTACACAACAAAAAAAACCTTATATCCCAATTAACTTGGGTAGAATACACAAATTATGAGGAGAAACACGTTTGGTCAATCACACAATTTTTCTCTCACCATTTGTTTATATCCATTACCATACTCTTGTCCAAATTTTAAATAAGATAACTTGCTCATAATAACCCCCTCCCACGTCTTTTAGGGTCTCCCCTTCCTCTTTCGTAAAAAGCATTTATCCACCCCTCAAGTTAAGTTCTTTAAATGATGCATCACTATGTCTTCTATGTAAGTTTGTATGTGTCCAAACCATCGCAATTGATTCTCTTAATTATCTTCAATTGATTCTATTTCACCATCCTTTGATGATTTTTTAATTTTAACCATCCTAGTGCCCACACATCCATCATAATATGTGCTTGAGTGTCTAGTGGGGAGGGTGACACCATGGGGTATACCATGTTAGATTTAATTGGGTTTGTTTGCATATGACTGAATGGGTTAGTGTTTGTTTCATATTTAATTAATTAAAAATAAAAAAAAGAGTTAGGCAGTTTTAAAAGATAGGTCCTGGTAGTTTCTAAGAGTTGTGCTGGTTTGTTCTCTATCTATATTTAGAGAATACAAAGAATCCTCTACAGTTCACAATAATAAAAAATTCTTATACTGTGCTTTGATCAGATCCTGTCTAACAATAGGTATCGGAGCAGTCTAATTTGCGTTCAAGCAAGGTTTTAAAAGGCAAAAACTAGCCTCGAGGCGGTAGAGGAAAATGCCTCAAGGCGTAAGCCTCGAGGCGGAACAAGGCGTAAGCCTCAGATCAACTTGATAAAAAATAACAAACAAAACAACTTTTAGGTAAACAAAATGCATAATCCATAATTATGTCAAATAAGTCATTAAGTAATACATAAGTTTTCATTTAAAGCAAAAAAGGGGGGCAAAATAAAAACGCAATAAGATAATCATGATTCAAGATAACCAAAACACTAAAAAAGTTGATGTAAAACCAAACTATATGTAAAAGATTAAATTTAAAGTAATTATAAATTATAATATAAACAATTTAACAATGAAAAATCTTAAAATTTAATAATGAAAAATCTTAAAATTGGCTAACTTAAAATTTTTCAAGTTGCTGGAATTTTGGAAAATAAAATTACCAGAGTAAAAAAAAGTTAAAACAAATCTTCAAGAAATCATAAATTCGTACCTTAAGAGAGAAACGAGAATAGGAAGCCAAATTGCACAGGGAAAGCCGCGACCAGAGAGAAACGACCGGAAGCCAGAGCGAAAGAGAGAGAATCGGAAGCTGGACAGCCACGCAGGGGTGCGATTGGAAAATTGGAACTTTAAGAGTTTTTATTTATTTATATTTAAGTAGTGCTTCCTGCCTAACTTTTTCAAAGGGGCCAACTATTTGAAGGCCCAATAACTTAAATTCAAAAGGGCAGAATATGGCTTATACGGACTATATTTCAAGGCGAACGCCTCGTTTCCGCCTCAGCGCCTTACCGCCTCGAACCGCCTCAATAAATCAAGGCGTACGCCTCGCGGAAATCATCTGGTGCGAACGCCTCTGGGGCAAAAAACTACCGCATCAGCGCCTTACCGCCTCAGGGCGGACCGCCTTTTTCGCCTTTTAAAACCATGCGTTCAAGGGGTGGTGATCGGGAGCAAAAGGGCTGCCAGATCATAAAACAAAGCGTTAGAGACTTCCTTGACAACAGATCAAGAATCTTCGACCAGATTCTTCCTCGCTCACGACAATAATAGAAAGTGGCTACTTTTTTCCTTTGGCAGAAGTATTCCAACCAAACAGCGCGGGAAAAACACATTAGCGGGGTAGCTTTTGTTTAGCAGCTTGGAAGATGGAAAAGCAGGGGGGCTTGTTTTCTAGTTGATGGTGAATTGCATGTGGCTTACGATCCGAGAAGGAATCAAAATCTAAGATTTTTTTTGAAAATTGTCGAAGGAATAAAAGTCATGCAATGGGAGACAACCCAAACAGACAGATTGTGACTACAAGGGAGAATAATTCACTATCTTTTCAAGTCCCAATTCTAACTGCTACAAACTACACTATTTGGCCCGTGAAAATCAAAATGATTTTCAATGTTAATGGGATTTGGGAGGTGATGGAACCGGGAATAGAAATCGATCCAAGGAACAATATGGCGATAGCATATCTGTTTCAGCTTTGCCGGAAGAGATTGTGTTAAAAGTTGCTCAGTTTACCGAAGCTAAAGAATTTTGGGATGCACTGAAGACTCGCTTTGTTGGTGTTGACAGGGTTAAAGAGGTGTAATTACAGACACTAGAATCAAATTTTGAGCCTCTAAAGATGAAGAAGTGAAGAACAATGAGTCACTTGATGATTTTGCTCGTAAGATTAGTCAACTTGCAACATATGCAAGCAACCTTGGGTCTGCATTTGAAGACAAAAGATTGGTTCGAAAGCTTTTAGAAAAGTTCATACATATTGTTGCTGCAATGGAACAGTTTGCCAACATCAACACAATGTCGTTTCAAGAAACGGTTGGAGATGTTAGGGGTCACATAACAGAGGAGACCGGTGGTGGAAAAGGGTTTAAGGAAAAGTTGAAGCCATGAAAGCGGCCTACAAGAAACTCATGGGGAGTAGTGATGAGGAGGATAAGAAGGTAAAACAAGAGACTATAAGATTGCACAGAAAAAAGCTAAGTTGGCAGTTATAGCAATGAAGAATGCAACTTTTGGACGACTTTAATAAGGGCCTAGAAGAGAGAGGAGGGGAGGTAAATTTGTTTCGGCTTGCTAAGATGCGAGAGGAAGGAATGAACTTTAGACCACATGAGGTGCATGAAAGACGAATTAGAAAAGAGGAGGCGGAAAAATCCATTAGCATAATGAAAGGATGTGGGAGCGGGGGGGAGAGCTTTGGGACAAGACGAGATCTCCATGGATTTTTGGAAGATTGTGAGTAGGGATAGGTTGGTGCAGATCAGATCAATGAGGTTCCTATTGTATCGCGAGGCTTGACTAAAGTTAATTTAAACATAGAAATATTTGATATAGTTATAAACTTAGAAAATACACTAAAAGTTCTATTAAGGATCCATTCGGAAAAATAGAAAATGGTTTCTGAACAATGACTTCAAGAAAATAAATTCACTTTCTGGTGTTTGACGTGACACAAGAGGGACTTAATGATAAGTTGGAGTTATGATGACTTTCCTTGGAATGCAAGGTTGCAAACTCAGCAGGACAATGACTGAATACATGGAATGTTGCTGCTTCAGTGGTTGAGTGACGGAATTAGATGTGGAAGTTAACTCCAGTGCCTAAGATCATTCAGGCTAATGAGGAGATAAAGAGGGATGTTGCTCACCGTATTGGAGCTGCTTGGATCAAGTGAATGTTGGTGCCTCAAGGGTACTACAGGAAGTGAGGAAGATTTTGGCAAGGATGAAAGGGATGTTTTACAAGTCTGTCATGCTGAGCAGTTAAGAAAACTCACATTTGCCAACTACAAGTTGAAGAGATACAGATGCTACAATGGATGTGTGAGCAGACAAGGTTGGATATGATTCGGAACGAGGTTATCCGGGAATGGGTGGGTGTGACTTTTGTGGAGGATAAGTTGCGAGAAGATAGGTTGAGGTGGTTTGGGCATGTGAAACAACAGAGTGATGAGGCCACGGTGTGGAGATTTGAAGGGTTGTCAGTGATGGGAGGGAATGTGGGAAAGGGTGGACCTAAGAAGAGTTGGATGGAGGTAGCTAAACATGACCTTAGACTTTTGGCTCTTACCGAGGATATGACTTTAGACAGGAACATTTGGAAATATATGACTAGAATAGTTGGGTAGGAGTTTGAGTCTTCTGTGCTTATCGATGTGTACTTTAGGCTTTTGTCTAACTTTAGCTTGCTTTATGCTTCTAGGTTTCCCATTTTACTTGACTCATATTTTCTAGAACAGACAAACACCTAAAAATGGGAAAATGATTTCCAAACGTGATTTGTTCTCTTTTCAAACGGACCCTAAACTGCAGAAGCTGAATGTTATAAAAATTTGATAGAGAAAAGAAGGTATGGTTGATCACATGAATAGTTTAAAGAACAAATAAAATGGGATAGTCCACAATTTTTTTATATGTTACTGGTATTCAAGACGAAACATTACCTATTAAGGTCCTGCTCTTTTGAGTTGGAATTTCAGAGTTGGATGTTGGAAAAACTGGAAGGAGTTGAAAAAAACTTGAAAGAGTTGGAAAATGTTGGAAGAATTAAAGTGCTAAAAGGTCACTAAATTAAATGATCACCCAAATAAACATGTAAGAAAACTCTAATTTTAGATAAAAAATGAATTCATTCT